CTACTTCTGTCAATCTATCCAATTGCCTATAATTAATAATATATATAGTATATATGTAAGTAGTTTGTTAATAAATAGAATTATTGTTCACTATTATTAGTAATTAAATTAAAATTATTTAATTATTAAACCTTTGTTTTCTATGAATCTTTTCCCATCCTATAGCCTCAACCTCTATTTTTGTATTACCAGCCCAATAAATTGTATCCAAATCTTTCTGTGCATCATATGATTCATCATCATCACCACCATTATTACTATTACTGCCACTATCATTAGAATCTTTTTTAACCATTGATGGTGATGATGATGATGATAAGTCTAAGTCAATGTATTTTAAAATCATGGTTGAAAGAAAACTATGACCAAAATGTATTTTCGGAGAAGGCCTAATAAAAGATCCACTATTTGGAATGCTGTTTTATTTAAAATGTAATTGTTTTTTCTCTCTCCAATACATACAAGCAATAATAACTATGTAGTATAACTAACCTACACATGACATATCTTACATCATCATGTAAACCATCATGTTTTCCTCTTGAAATATTGTCCCATTCAACACCATACCATATACCTTTTGTAGGTGGGACAGGGCCAACATAACGAATTGTTGCTAATTGATCTTCAAATTGAATTCTTTTGTTTATAACATCCCTTGGAATATCATCATATTTTTGCTCATCACTAGACATTTTTTCAATGTAACAATAAAATTTTAAATCATTGCTACTATTTCTGTTATCTCACTCACAGATCAAAACATATTGGGATTTGTAATACAGTGCAGATCATCTATAAAAAAATTCCAACTACAGTCAACCCTCCATAAGTCAGTGGGGTATTCGAAAGCTTGATTTTCCTAGTACAAGCCCCATATGTGGATTTTTTTATGGTACCCCTTTTTTCTCTAAAAAAGGAAATAGTGTAACAAAATATATATTCAAATATGTTATTATGTTATTAGTATTATGAACTTTTAATCACTAAGGCTTTTGGAAAATCGTTACATTTATAAAATTATTAGAGGCTTTTAACCAGAATACATTTGTAGAACAGTGCTATGGAGAGAGAATTTTAATTTCATACAATTTTTTCAGAAGTTGCAATAGATAGAAGTGTTATGATAAAGAAGAAATTTTCTGTAATTTGAATGAGCTTTTTTACACCATTGGTATTTTTACATCCATTAAATCTTTCCATGGCTCTAATCTATATTACATATACTATCTTGCATGCTAATTTGGTGTCCATTCATATCTTTAAAAATGGAGGAGGAGTAGTGGTTTGAAAACAGCATGTTTTGTTAGTGTTTTATTAGTATTATGAACTTTCAATTGCTAAGGCTTCTGGAAAATCATTACATTTATAAAATTATTAGAGGTTTTT